TTTTTATCCATTCTATAGCAAACGGCTAGACAGATTTTTAAGTGTGAGGTGTTATTTTTCTGTAGGTACTTTAAATTTCTTTTCATCTATTTTCGATTACTTAAATATTCATTTACTCATAAATACATTTTTTTAAATAATCTACGTTTATAAATAAAGTATCTCCCTCACTATACTTAGTGCCAAATCAATCGATTTTTCTTTTATACTTAGTATAAAATTAAAAAAAAATACAATTGCTATCGAACATTTTATTTTAAATTGCAAGCATTAATTAGGCTTTTTTTTCTGTATGTTCATCGTCTACTACATTGTATAGCATCCATTATTTCTTTAAACGGGCACAATTTTTCATGTTTTGGTGTAATTGATATACCTACATTTGCGTAAAACATTGTTTTACGTTATGATATCTAGGTACTCATTACAAAACGCCCCCGTCGTTCTGTTTTGTGGCCAGAGGGATTTAATTAAGCTAAGAAAGAGTAACAATAAAAAAAAATCGAATGAATTTTCACCCTCGGACTTGAAGGGTTTAAAGTTTTATAAGCCATAAAGTACATGGAGGCTAGGCAACGAATAAATAATGAAATCCCACTATAGTATTATTACTAGCTACAAGGGTTCTAAAGGGTATGGTATCCCTCGCTTTGTAAACTAAGGCATAACTGGTACAACGAAATATAAAATTTATTTTTCAACTTTCATCACTTCTATTTAAGAATAGGTTAAAAATAATGTTTACTGCTTTTTCAACAGACTTCAAAAAGGAGGGGATTTACAATTCGTCGGGAACTTTTTTTTTTTATTAACATACCGATTACTCGAAAACGCCTGAACTGATTTGGAAAATTCTTTTTTGTTTCAAATGGTATACTTCCCAGGAGGTCCCATTTAAATTTTACCGAGGTCGAGGGGTTTTAAAAGAAAAACAATAATAAATTATATTTATGTTGAAGTCGGTTGTACAAAATTTTTCATTTTATCTCTTGTTGCAATTTATATTATGCGGATAGCCACACTGTCGCAATAAATTAAAAGCTGATCATTAAGAGTTCAATAGAGTATTTTAAAAATATCTACCTAATTGATTGTGTTATTCAAAACAAGAATATACTCATCATTTTGTATAATAATCATCGTTACACACTATATGCAAACATCAAGCCAGACACAGGCCATCTCTCCCGTTACAGGAAAGATAAGATGATTTGAGGGCTAATAATTTTCTGCTCACCAGATGTCACTAGTTGACACTGAGGTAAAGTTTTTTGTTACACAATGTCATTTAATTGAAAAGTTAATTTTTAATAAAAGTTTATCAGTTTCAAAAGTATTATATTAATACACATAACAATGCCTCAGTGCCCCTTAATTTTTTCCACATTTTTAACTTTTTTTTAATTTTTCTACTTTTATGAATATCCGTGGTTTGGTTTATTTACTTTTAATCTTATTAATATGAAATATAGTTAATACCACAGAAAGAAACATTAACCTTTACATTTTCCGAAAAAATTAACTTCCCCGCTATGATATGTCTCACTTTTAAGTGGCGCCGCCCTGGTGGCAGAAAAAATCGTGGATGCCCTCATTATCAAACTTGGCACGATGAACCACGACCACAGTAACACGATTCAACACCTTTGAGCAGCTGTCGTATTTTTGTATGGCGTAAAACAGATGGTTACACCGCTATCTGAAGCTACGAGATACCAGAAATTTCCATAATCGCTTTGTATGACACCCACGGGCCGAAATGAGGTGATGAATTCTCTTACGCCGTTACCAGATCTGTATAAAAAGAGCAATCGACCAGAGAGATTGACAAGAGCAACGATTGCCTCTTTGTTCTAGTGGTCATAAACGTGGTTACTAATAACAAGGTCCCGGGTTCGAATCCCCAGTCGGGCCAAAATGAGTTATTGGATTTTCTGTCAAGAAATTCTCAGCACGTACAGCCGTTGATCCTGCGCCTGATCTCTCTCCGGTCGTGTCGGATAACCGTCCCGTCGGACTATAAGAGTTAGGGTAATAGAGAGTGCACCTGTGTTTGTGCATTCACTTGAACACTGTAATCCTGTCCTACGCAGATCGCTAGTCTCCATTGAGACTGGCCGCTGTGACCGAAATTCGATCTGGAGGACATTACTTATAATTAAGAAGAACCATGGCGTCTCCGATCGAGAGCATAGTAATTCTATAGGAAGGCCTATGTTCAGCAGTGGACAGGCTGTAATGATGGTGATTATGATAATAATATACGAGAGTCAGTAGGCTACTTCTTTTGTGGCAACGTCGTTTTCGTACCTCGGCATCATTATTTAGACATAGTTCCTATTGACTTTTGCCTAATATATGCTATGCATCTACATCTCTACAACAAAATCAATCCACTGACAGCTAATTTGTTTTCTCGTTAATGTCAGGGGACAGTGTATCGTATTCATCTTACCATTTATTTGTTGTTGTTTTGTTTTTTTTTTTTACGCCTTTGTAATGATATTATATATATATTCTTAATTGTATAGCCCCTCCTTCTACATAAGAGCTGACTAGTATACGCTTTCAGAGGTTCAGAGGTTTCAAAATTTAATAGATAGGTACAATATTATTTCTTAGTGTCAATATAATTATGTAGCATAATCATATATTTGTAAAAATTAGAACCCTCCATTTGGAGTGTCATGTGTTGTTGTATCCAGCAGCAAATTTGCACTTTATTAATACTGATTAATTCATGGCTGTGAAACGTTAACTGTTATATTAGAACAGTGGCTTGCTTACATTTTAGTTAAATAAAAAAATTACAAAAAAGTACATTTGTTTTATTATAAATAATTTGTTGTTCTATTTATTATCAGAGCAATTTTGACTGGCTTTCTTTCACCTATTTGTAATTTATAATGAATAAGGAACGATATTCGAAAACTATAATATAATATATTGTATTATATTGTTTAGTGTATTTAACCGTGTAGTGGCAGTGTAAGAATTTTCAATATCGCATATCGTCCTGCGAGTGTCGTAAGAGGCGACAGGGGAACTGAAACAGGACATGGCAAGCAGCATCTTCCTGATATCAACACAAAACTTCAAAAACTGAGGTTGCTAACCCCTTCCAAGCGTGGCAACTATGGCAAAATACTCCCTATGAGGCAATGTTTGGGAGAAGGCTATGTTCAGCAGTAAAATTTATTAGCCTATAATGGCAATTTGCATATGTGCTTATGTGGAATACAATATAATATAACCCCTTCTAGAAATTAGTTTTGAATCAAAAATGACACCCTGCCCATGGAAATTTGATCTCCCAACTCCCACAAGAGAAAAAATCCCACAAGCAATATCAGGTCCATGCTAGCTGGGCTTCAACATGTTGGTAGTACTCTTTTTATGATAAGGAATTTGTCTGTTTACGTACCGCTCTCTTACTAAGATAGTGGTACCTAAACTAACTAAGTGGCTTTTAGTTATTTCTGCCGGCAAACAGCAGTGCACAACTGTACTCTAGTCTGAAGAGTAAAGAGCTTTGGTGTTGTTGATCGAAGGTAAAGAGCCAGTATAATTACAAGTGTTAAGACATTCCATCTAAGTCATCAGAAACAGAAACTTTTTTATTCAATAAATATTATAAATAATGCTTATTGAAAGTCACTATTTTGTTTAATTTACCACTCAAGAGGTGACAATGCATCTATAGCATTGTTTGAATGATGTTAGTAGCGGGTGTTCATAGACTGCTGTAACCAATTACCATCAGTAGACTCTTTCACTAGAAGTTTTTCACTACAATAATATAAAAATCAATCTGTCAGTCAATTTTAGTAAAAATGCTAGCTACACATTATTTCCATGTGCATAATTTGTACAAAAACTAGCCTATGGTCAGCCATGTCAACAATTTCATAAATTTTCATCATCATTTGTACAATGATGTGCAAAACGTGTAGGTATAATTCACATTTTGAGCCTTACAATTGACATATATGATTAAGTTTTAATTTAAAGTACAACCTTGACATTGGCAGAGAATTATCAGTTAAGCGATGGAGTCATTTTTATTTTAAAATAGAAGATTTAAAGTATTCTAACAATAGCATAACTGTGGAAAGAAACTAGGCCCTAGTAGTGAAATTAACACTGGTGGTGTTAAAAGGAAAGCTATGGTGAAGCTCACTTCAATCTTATCTTTAATAAAGACAATTAGGATGTCAACTGATTGCAGCTGAAAAATTGATTACTATAAAGCATTTAGTTTGCCAAAACACTGTGTAGCAATGGTTCCAGATCCTTGTAACTACCATATCGCAATTAGATAAACGCAGTGGATGAACATTATGTAACATGAGCTTGGGGAATGCAAACGGGTCACACATGAACAACCAAAACAAGTATTAATTTAAAGAATTTCATTGGTGCCGGCTAGAATTGAAACAGGATTGGTCGCATATTCTGAAAATTACGACAAGTGCTTATCCCTGAGCTACCCTGGCCCTCAGCATATACCTCTCTTTTTCTGACAAGGCTACAGAGCTGGAAAGTAAAGAGTTTACACGTTTCTAAAAGGCCAGCAACACATCTGCAATTTCCCTGGTGTTGCGGTTGTTCATGGGTGGCAGTAGTCACTTACCATCAAGTGTGCCGCATGCTCCTTTGCCCCCTTCTATAAAAAAAAAGTATATGATGCTTCTCCAGTATAAGAGCACCTAGAGATGCCATGGTTCGCTTAGCAATATAATTTATTAAACAAGAGCATTAGAAAGTATTTTATTCTCTCAAAGTTTATGGATATGTAAACTCAGTCTAGTTAGTATTCCGACAATATGAATAAATATTAAAATCAAAGTTAACATGATTTTTAAATATCTTTACACAATTCATAGCTTGCATGAGCAATTTTCAAACAAATTTCTGAGTGTCCTTACAACACCAAGAAAACAACATCTGGATCTTTCTGATGTTATATTTTTAATTTTAATTAACTTAAATATACAAATTTACTCAGTCCACCTATGTTTACAACTTGTACACACATAATATAGCCGCATTTCCTCTTCGGCGCGCCTTGTCTGTCCTTGGAAGAAAACTGCTTCTCTGTGATTGCATTTCGGACACATATGATCCTTAGTGCGCGGTAAAGTAGGGTCACTAACCACGTCTGGATTTATATGGGTCAATTCATCGACTTCGTGCATAATTTTGTTAACATAGACGCAATTAGAATCTGCTAACTGTTTATAGTCACAATTTCTGCATGCGTACAGCAGTACTTTGTTGTTTTTGTCTTCGCGCGGGTAAAGCATATTGTTACATTCTTGGCAAAATTGAATGCCGACATATCCCGGGCCGCCGTCTTTTCTTCCCAAATTCAAGGTCATTTTCAAAGTATAAACGCAGTATTTAGACGATAATATCTTTATTGGATTTAATTTTAAATTTGAAATGAATGCAATAAACAAAAATCTAAGAAACAAACGCAAAATCCACAGGCAAAATCAAATCTTCCTATTTTCATTCCAACACCATAGATTAGATAAATAAATATCGTCAGACGTCAGACGGGCGTCTATGGTACATTTTGTTTTAATAACTGGCTTTACGGCTCTGGGATCTAGCCCTTCTGAGCCTGAAGTTACAATATATTATAATAATTATCCTTCATTGTATCCTGCTTCACAATATGTTGATGCGTCACATTGTGCAGCCCCGTTAAAATCGGCAACTTCAGCCAGCAGACGGCTAACGGTTGGCGATGGTATCTCAAGGCGCCTAAGCAGACAGACACCTTCTTTTGAGAATCACATCACCATCAGAGCACTTGTTTCACAGTTTCCACTAATAGTACACATGCGCAGACACTTAATACACAAAATCGCACCACTTTTACATGTCAAACTCCACTACAAACCATTATTTAAACAATAAAACAGGAGCAGAAAACCGCCGCCGGTCAAGTTCCCGCCAAAACTCGGTACATTTTGTTTGAAGTTTGAACCATGGAGTATATTTTTTACACTTGTACCAATGCAAAGAAAAGCATTAAGCTTTCCTTAACATTGGTGGCAATATACTCTTTTCGATTCTAAAGATGTCCCTGCCTTTTAGAATCCTTTAGATTATGTTGCATCATTTAAAATTCACAGGTTAATAGAAAATAATCCAGATATGATAGTCTCCAAAGTGTTTTTAAAGTTTTGCTGACTGTTCTGCCATCAGTGTAGTGAGATCATTGAGTTATACAAGATTAGAGGAGCATACCACATTACCGCGCGTCGAAAAAAGTGAAACCACTACTAACCGCGTGGACGTAGCTTTGAAACCACTAAACCTTTTTATGTAAACATATATCTGTATCACTTACACAAGTCGCGAAAACAATACCGTCGCTAAGATTAGATAAAGATAGACACACAAACATGCAGTGACGGGTTGGTATTGCCTACTATATAAAATTTTACCCAAAATAAGCAATAAAAAGGAGTTTTTTTAAGCTGCAGTTATTTGTTTTTTATTTTAAATATGTATCTTTGCTTATCGGATGAATAGAAGTATAACTAATGAAATGAAAGATTTTTTTCCGAAGTATGTTTTATTGTACTAATAAATCAAACAAAAAATAAATCAAGTAATAAAAACAATTTTGGATTTCTTAACCACGAAGATCTGAGTTTGAAATATGCATCAATTGTAAAAGCATCGGCAAGTCTTTGTCTCCTAAATTTGGTCTCATGACATTAGCTACAAAGACTGTGGTTATTAATAAATTTTTTAGATAATACTAAATGGCGTTAATCTGTAGTACTAATCCGCTTAAATAAATACGGTCGCCATCGCTTTTTAGTTCTAGTTTGTATTGATCCCGGAAGTGCTTAGAACTAATGAGAGTAGATTTCGAAGGCACCCAGTGAGTCTTCTTTCTCAGCAATCGTATTATTTCCACCCACTTCTTACGGTGTGCTGCATCTTTAAGTACCCTGCAAAATTATTAATAGAAAATAGGTAATAAAATATAATAAATAGATCATTCATGAATATTCTAAAATAAGAATAATTAATTCCTTTGATTAAAGGTCGAAACATAGATTTTATTACAATTTCCAAAATATTCAAAATCAGGGCTTAACTTATTCCATAAATTATATAGTCGTAGTAATGTAATGTGGGCAAATTGCAAAGGCAGAAAAGTGGCAGCATTGAACATAAATTGAAATATTCGATATTTTATTTCATTTTTTTTGTGTTTTTTTTTGCGTTAATATGAAAACATAAACTAAAACTTACGCGTGAAAACTGATTCCGCTTGATTAATTATGTTTTTGTGACCTTGGAACGCATTCTTTCACTACGCATTTACCCATTTTTTGTCGTGAATCGTTCGGCTTAACTCGGTCGGCGTTATATTGAACACTGAACCGACGTTAGCTGGGCATATGGCTGTGGCCATATGTGAAGTGGCAACGCTTTGGCGTGGCAATTACTTATCTGGTGTAACATATAAATCAATGAGTAAGCTGGAAAAAGAATATTTAAATATATAAAATCAAAATAGTTATATTTTGTAGTTTTTAGTATGGGAGCTAATTTTATTTTAATGGAAGCTCTCTTATTTCTACGACAATGTTTGCATAGAAAATGTCAAGACAAGAAGAGGTCATAGTACTTAGACAAAGTTACTTTCACATAAATCTAAGCTTTCACAATTATATAGAATAATTTTTGAACATAATTATCATTGTTACATAAGATATTAAGTATACTTTAGCAATGTTTTGATATCAATGGTTGGGAGGATAGAAGTACTTGTAAAAATTTATTGTAAATTAAAACATTATTAAAAATGAAACTTACAGGATTCAGTAGTATGTGATAAAGCTGCTATCATAGTTTTATTAAAACTTAGACACATATCTTCACCTATAAAGTAAAAAATATAAAAATACATAATATAATGAGTTAAATGTAACGCAGCCTATTGTATACGAGTATTGTAGTCTGAACATGTTCTACTGTCTGTACATGTTCTCTGAGGGATATGAATACAAGCATCGAATTTAATGTGTTTCCTTTATTTAAATATGGTAGTACATTAGACCCTGCCAATTTTAGATCAATTTCTGTACTACCAAGATTTAGTAAAATTTTTGAAACAATCATTTTAGATCAGATGTTAAAAAAAATCATATTAACAAATTGCTTCATAAAAATTAATTTGGTTTTACAAGGGGTCGCTCGACAACTGACGCTGGAGTTGAGCTTATAACATATTTTTTGTGCATGGGAGAATTGAGAGGATGCTATTTTGTGACCTTTCCAAGGCCTTCGAATGTGTTCACCACGAGAGATTAATCAGGAAGCTACAGTACTATGGTGTCAAGAACACAGCGCTTAAACTTATTATTTTATATTTAAGTAATAGAACCCAGAAAGTTATTATCAATGGTAAAAGTTCTTCTGGGTTACAATCCGCCAAAACCGAGAACAATCTTTATCAAATCGAATATCACAATAATACCATAGCCAAACCAAAAGCATTAATTTGCATTTGTTTTATGTAAATGTGTACAATTTTTTAATGAAAGTATCAATCGTGTGTTATATGTGAAAACCGTCAAAAATAAGACAAAAATGAACCAGCTTCTTTAAATTTATGCAGTAAGTCGTACAAAACGTCTGGTAATAAAATTTGAAGAATCATCTAAAAACTAAGCATCATTTTGCTTATTTGCAAATGATAAAAATAAAGAGTGCATCAAAAACACAAATCAACCAAATTTTTAATAGTATTCTGTACATCATTCGTGAAAATTAAACAAGAAAATCATTAATTAATTAAACAAATGTAATTTATTTACATCAATATACACTACTTTATAATAAGACGCAAAAAAACCACACATTTCTATACATTTTTTACACCACAAGCTTTTCAAAGTCTTGACACATGGACGGCGACGTTCACATACGACTGCGACACATGCTGTTTATTTGAAATTTCTAAACATTCAAGTACTTTAGTAGCTTTGTATCGGGTCCTCGTTCATTCATTCGTCTACGTTAATATTACCCGCCAAATACTCAGCCATGGATCGGCAATTTTAGTTCCCAGTACGGACAGTGATGGCGCTCCAAATCGACATAAGCATTTTGTATGGCATAGCCAGTTCAGCGTACTTGTATATATATAGAGAGAGAGGTCAGTGGTGTTTCTAGATAATTTGTAGATATGTGCCAACTCGAAACGACTCGAGTTAACTCGAGTTGAAATTCACGGAACTCGAGTTGAAACTCGAGTTAGCAGTACGAAACAGAGTAAATGGTTTGTTACAAATTGCTTTTTTATAAACTAGTTTTTCTGTCTAGATCTTTGGTGGGTTGGAATAACTACAATTACCAAACTTATTATGTAGGATTATGCCAAACTTATTATGTATATTTAGTATGTATAGCTTCACCTAACAATATTAGTCTAGCTTCAAGATGTAGGTACATAAGCTATCAATAATTTAATTATCATAGTCAAAATATTCTTTCAAATTCTAAATATTTATGGTAATCTTAGTGTTACATTTGGCGTTAATTAAAAATGTGTCTTACAATTTACTACCATTTTCGGGTAATAAAATAGGTTTAAAACAATAATAGGTTTGTGACGTACATAACTATCAAAATTATAAAAGAAATTAAATTACATAACTTTTCTTTTCTTTTATATTCTAAATAACAAATTTTTTTGGTTGTAGCTAAATACTCTTTGAAACACAAAGCGCGCACACAAAGAACGAATCGCGCTCTTATACTCTTTTACTAACTCACTTGATCCTTCATTTAGCAAATAAAAATGTCTGACTACTTGCCATAATATGTACTGGCCCAGATTATGCAGTAAAAGTACTAAAAATTTACAACCACGACCAATTTTAGATTTTCAATATGTTACCCAAGTTACAATCTTTTTATGAAAAGTGTGTATCGACTCGAGAAAAGTTCGGTAAATGCCGTTGTAGCAAATATTTTTACATACATACATATAATCACGCCTCTTTCCCGTAGGGGTAGGCAGAGTCCACTTCTTTTCACTTGCTACGATCCTTACATACTTGTTTTGCTTCGTCCACAAATATTTTTCTAATAAAAAAAATGGTAATTGACTGTAAATATCGATTAAAAAAAATATTAGTTACATTTGATTGTTTTATTTATTAAAACAGGTTGCAACCGTAATATTTATTTATTTATACCACCGGTAGTAGACATAATCGAATTTTAACATTAGATTACGGCGTAACAATTAAAATATTTATGTGTACTTATTTTGACACTAAATTTTATAAATAATGAAAAATATATCGAAATGGTATATAATAATAAATAATATAATAATAAATTAATAAGATAACATTAAAATAACACACCAAAAATTTTCCATCCACTGAAGTCCATCCTAAAAAAACTTGTATTATGGAAGATCAAGATCGTTTAATCGCCGTACTCACAGTATTATAGTGCGAGCGAGTGAATAGATGTGAAAGAAAGTATCGGTTGCGTAGCTCACCGCCCGCTCGGTGCGTATAACTAAACTTGCGAAACGCCGAAATGTAAGAGGGCTCTTAAACAGAGAATACCCTGGTCGCTGGATCGGTCGTGACGGGCCTTGTTCATGGCCTCCCAGATCCCCAGATATCACAACAATGGATTTTTATTTGTGAGGGCATGTAAAGACATTAGTGTATACTGAGGGCCTAGACAAAGTCACATTTTCAGTAACGATAACGAAGTTAGAGAACTCCAAAATGTATGGAATTGACATATGCTTTCGAAAGATCACGTGATCGACCGTTTTCGATCGCTAATTGCTAGACAATGTCAAAATGCCTATCGAAGCGATAAAGAAAACGAACAACACGAACGATATTATCTTAGGAATGCGTAGACAAGTGGCACTTTTGACATTCTAAATCGCTAGATGTCGAAACGTTCATTCGACAACTTGGCGAACACTTGAACCCTTTAGAAAAGCAAAATAACATGGCTGATTGTTAGTCAGCTGTTGGTGTTGTTTGCATCAATTATTGCTTGTTTCTTATATTTCGTGGTTTTTTGATAAAAATGCATACGTTGCGTTTACTAAGGGCTGCACATAATGAAAGTGTGTGGTTGAGGCGTCAAAAAAGATACAATTACCGGCAAACAATGGAAAGTGTGGAAGATATGCCTGAGTTACTGTTTGTTGAACATTTTCGTTTAAATAAGAGCACCTTTCGGCGGCTTTGCAACGATTTGCGTGTTCATACGTCGCTAAGAGGATCTAAAGAAATCCCTTTGAAAATTAAGGTAACCTTACTAAACGTTTACAAATACTTAAATAAATAAACAATAGTTTTGATGCTACTACGTTTGATTTCAACATTTTCTTTACCTCATTACTTTATGTTTTTAGGTGCTCACTGCTCTTAATTTTTTAGCTACTGGTTCCTATCAAAGGATCGTGGGTGTTAGTCAAAATTTAACACAAAGAACAACGAGCCGGTGTGTCCGGCAAGTCGTTGATGCGCTCAACCACCCCACACTCATGAGCAAGTGGATTCAATTTCCACAAACAGTACAAGAAAGATCATTAATCAAAGAAGAGTAAGTAATCATGCTTATGTTTCTAGGTTATGGTTAGCTAAAAAAATAAAGTATATTAAGTATATCTTAACTACAGTAATTATTAAATTTAAGTAACATGAATAGGTTGTTACTTCTCTGCCATATTATATTACAAAAATCTTCATTTTCAGATTTCAAAGGAAGTATAATTTGCCAGGAGTGATAGGATGCATCGACTGCACCCACATTGCTATAGTAAAACCATCTGAAGAAGAGCATGCTTTCTATAACAGAAAAGGATATCATTCCTTAAACATTCAAATGGTTTGTATTTAAATCTAGAAATATTATTTCTGCTTTCATAACTACCAATTTTATTTGATACTACATAAAATTACATTTTCAGGTATGTGATCATAATTTAAAAATAATGAACATAAATGCTAAGTTTGGTGGAGCAACACATGATTCCCACATATGGTCATCGAGTCTCGTAGAACCCTATATGTGTCACCTTCATGAAAGTGGTGAACATGTTTGGTTACTTGGTAAGTAAGATATTATAAGAGTAAGATATTTATAAGAGACATATATATATACCATTAAATATATAGAAGTAGTATAACATAGGTAAGTATGCTTTAAATCTTTTCTCATTCATAACTTCTTGCTTTCAGGGGATTCTGGTTATCCACAACGCCCTTGGCTTATGACTCCAATATTAAATGCTCCACATGGGTCTCGAGAGGAATTGTACACCACTCGTCATGTACAAGCCAGGACATGTATTGAGCGCTGCTTCGGATTACTTAAAACACGTTGGAGGTGTTTGCTTCGTGACAGGGTCCTTCATTATCATCCCAACGTTGCCAGCAAAATAACACTTGCATGTTGTGTGCTACACAACATCTCGCTTCATGCACACTTGCCTGCTCCAAGTGATATCCCTGTTACTACTGTAGATGATAATGATGACTCCAGTACACAAACCACCCAAAGCACCACCACGGAGAATCGAAATGAATTAATCCGAGGCAGGGCAATGCTCAATTATTTAATAAGTAGATTGTAGATGTAGTTAAGTATCTATATTTATTAATTATTTAGCATTATAGCATATATATAATTGTTCAACTGTGCCAATATTTGTACAGAGTTGTTAAATATTAAGTATTGTTAGTTGTATAGACAAATAGTAATGTATGAAATTTGACTAAATGTTTCATTTGTTGCTTGGTTGGAAAAGTAGAGTAATGTGGTGTGACTATTCATTTTACAAGTTTTTTACTACCTTGCAATGTTTGTATGTTAGATCTCACAACTTTTTGTTATGTTTTTGGTGAGATTGTTTATAAAACATTGATTAATAAAATAGTCTACATAATTATAGAGATGACATTTTGATTTTTTTTATTGTGTTTCACCATTCACCTGTGCTAGTCCTAACTTAATTGAGGTCAGCGGCGTATGTGGTACTTTCCTTTCATACTCTTTCAGCCATCATCTTAGTACCCCATTCTGGATGTTATTAAAATAAAAAATGGTCAAAACAAGTGTTATAATAATAATAATTGTTTATTGCCTCTAAAAACACAGTTACATAAGGTTAAAACAAAAGAATATTATAATTATTGGAGACAAAAGGAGACAGCTCAGCTTTGTCTGTAACGAGATACAGATCTGGTACAGAGCTGTTTTTCAGCCGCTCCCTCCTCCCTGAGGTGTTGTGCGGGAGTCCAAAGTTGCATGCTCCCCATTTACCTGACTTATACTTAAAAACTAAATTACGTACAAGGTAATTAAATGTGATAATAAATTTCAAATACAAAAAAAAATGACTAAAAACATTAAAGACAAAATAAAACAATAAAAATATGCATAAAAACAACCATTACAAAATAAATTAACACCAGATTAAATAAAAGAAAATGAAACCAACACGGGAAATAGAAAATATACATAACCAACTCTTTTATTTTATTACAACTACTTGAATAAGAACTATCTAGGTACATACACTGAACTATCTACTTATTAAATAACAATATTAAACTTTGAATAAACTAAAAGTAGTATCAGTACTAAAAATAAATCTTATTAGTACTAAATTTAAAAGTCTTTAAAGCTGTTGAAATTAAAGTATTTCTAACATTATCTTAAACTAGTTTTTATGGACGAATTTCAATAGTAGCGGATATCTAACCGTGAGGTCTCGGATTTGATCCCCGGGTTGGGCAGTGTTATTGGGTTTTTCCATTAGAAATTCCTCCATATTAGCTTGGAGTCGAAGTTTGTGTACAGTTACATAAGGTTAAAACAAAAGAATATTATAATTATTGGAGACAAAAGGAGACAGCTCAGCTTTGTCTGTAACGAGATACAGATCTGGTACAGAGCTATTTTTCAGCCGCTCCCTCCTCCCTGAGGTGTTGTGCGGGAGTCCAAAGTTGCATGCTCCCCATTTACCTGACTTATACTTAAAAACTAAACTACATACAAGGTAATTAAATGTGATAATAAATTTCAAATACAAAAAAAATGACTAAAAACATTAAAGACAAAATAAAACAATAAAAATATGCATAAAAACAACCATTACAAAATAAACTAACATCAGCTTAAATAAAAGAAAATGAAACCAACACGGGAAATAGAAAATATACATAACCAACTCTTTTATTTTATTAGAACTACTTGAATAATAACTATCTAGGTACATACACTGAACTATCTACTTATTAAATAACAATATTAAACTTTAAATAAACTAAGAATAGTATCAGTACTAAAAATAAATCTTATTAGTACTAAATTTAAAAGTCTTTAAAGCTGTTGAAATTAAAGTACTTCTAACATTATCTTAAACTAGTTTTTATGGACGAATTTCAATAGTAGCGGATATCTAACCGTGAGGTCTCGGATTTGATTCCCGGGTTGGGCAGTGTTATTGGGTTTTTCCATTAGAAATTCCTCCATATTAGCTTGGTGTATCTCTTATTGCTCCGTATTGTCCCTACTCCGATAGTGGTCAAACCACGCTTGCGCAATGTCTGCAAACATGCGTAACACTTGATTACGCTCGTGGTCAACCTCTATCCTTCGGGTTTCCAGCTCATACAGCTGCCTGTCTCTTCTCTCCTCCTGCCGAAGACGTAACTGTTCGATGGCAACAAACTCACTCGTTGCTCTGTCGAATGGTGTGAGTGTACGCCTCCGGCGAGCCCTTAGAGACGTTTGTGTGGGGGAAGCAGTTATCCCAGACCTCGGGGTTGGTGGGAATCGTCGCCTGCAGGTCGGCGGAGGGGTAGAAGGTGCAGGTTGCACTCTTGAACTCCTCATGGATTGCGATGTTGAGGTCTCCTGTGTGAGGGTGTGCGGTGGCTGCCAGCTGCAAGATGGTGTAGGAGTAGTGGGCGCAGGTGGTGATATTGCCACAGACTCTGTAAACAAAATGAACTTGAATTCAAATACCTACTTAATAAAGTATTTATAAAATATTAAAATATTTAGTAGTATGTAGCTATACATACGATTGGCTGTTGTGATTTCACAATCAATTGTGTCTTGTTGGTGCGTGGCTGGTGGTGGACTCAGGGCCAGAGTTGGCGAGGAGATGACTTGTGATAGTCCCTGCAAAAAAATGACTTGAAATCTTAATTTAACTAATACCTAACCATAACATATCATATAAAACCTCTTGTGACATTACTCATTTCATTAAACTAGGCATTTGATTAATTTTCCATTTGACTATTTTAATTAATTATATGTTATTTTATTAATAAAATACATGTTTTAAATATTCAAGTGATCAGTTAACCCTGAATTTTAAATGAAGAAGTGCGATACTTACAAAGCCTTGTTCCTGAATGCTTGGCAGACCATCCACAGTCAAATTCCCCATGATGGCCAACACCCTCTCCTCAAAAGCTGTGAGGGTTTGGCGAATACTCGGCCCACCACCAGTACCACTTGCATGACGCCTTATTAGTGATGCTTTTTTTTTTGTTTTCGACTTCCAGTCGGCCCATACCTTCGAAATTAATTAAGCAATATGTAGGAAAGTTAGGTAATAAGTAATAATAGTGTATATTAATAGTAAATGGTTAATATAAATAAAGTAAAGCATAAAGTGATTATTACCATATATAGCTGTTGAATTTGTTACCTTTTTCCATTTGTCTGCCGATTTATTTACTCCACCACCGATGGAGTTTAATGTTACTGCCAACTCACACCACAGCCGCTCGGATTTCAAGCGCCCTTGAGGCCCACATCGGGGATTGGATAGATCGCCGTGACTGCAATTGAACAAACAATAGGGCAATAAGCAACGGATTGTTAACATCACGTCATTGTTTACATTGAGCATACTCAGTCATTTGAATTTAATTAAGTTCATGGTTTAGATGAATACTTCTTAACCTTTCCATGAACTCCAAAAGGGTCGAAAATTGTTGACCACTGGCTCGCACTCGTGGATCCATTGTAATTATCCTTAAAAACGGAAAAAAGCTTGTCAGTTCCCGCTTGTTTATCGTTATAAATATGTAATATACTCACAATCATTGATATCCAGTAAACTAGTGTAATTTTGGCACTCACAATAATTTTACGAAGTTAAGAAACTTACCTTTCTTATAATTATATAATTCTTTACTTAACTAGTTAATTCAAAACTCCAATAACTTCACTTTCACCGAGCAAACTTTAATATAACGTTAACAAGTACACTTTGTTTCACAACCTAATAAGAAGTGGTTTGTTTGTTTATATTTAGCGCGCCTTGAATTTGACGTTTCATTTCGACACCATAGTCAAGAAGTTGTTTTTTATCGAAAGAACGTTTCGACTTAGCGTTAGGTTTGCCGATGTCACTTTGTCTACCACTTGTCGTTCGATATCGCTAAGACGAAATCGATTTTCGAAATGGATTAGACACGGAGCGAATGCCACTTGTCTAGGCCCTCTGGTCGCGCATTCGAAACCCGCGACATGTTGAAAGAAAAAATAATTTGGGCATTCGATCAAATCAAAATGGATCATCAAGTATTATCTCGTGTCGGTGAACAGTTAAGTTTTAGGTGTCACCTATGCATAGAATGTGGAGGTAATTATTTTGAACGCTCTGTGCACGATACTCACCGCCATCCGCGGACACGTACCTAAGCAAATCTAATTTTTAAATTTGTATTTTAATATTTTTATTGAACCATTATACTTTAATATCTTTATTCAATTACTGTTAATTTGTATTTAATCATTATAAATATTTTATTGTAATATTTGTAATTATTTTAACCTGCATCCGTTTTTTAAATACAATTTACATTAAATAAAAAAATAGTTAATAATACTTATTTAATTTGCACGTGCTGCAAACATCGATGGCTGCAAATCGATAAGGGCAGACGGCGCCTTTGATGACGATGACACCGTCCTGTGTCGACGTCATAATATACCTTTGGATTGCCCTTGGACCACCGCATGTGCGACGTTGAGGCGTTGCTACCCACTGGATGCAACGTTGCCTCTTGGATGCAGGCAGCGTTGCTAGCAAACAGTATTCGTAAAAAAAAAACTACCTAAATGTCTTTTATTGAATTAAAGAATGTCTATTAATTCGTAAAGAAATTAATAAAAGAATCAAATAGTTCATCAAATGGTTTTATGCAAAATAAAGAAGTATATGAAAAGTTAATGTAAAGTCATTTAAAGTGGCGCCCTGGTGCAATAGACACAGTGATGAATGGTTTAGTAGGCACTCGCAACGCAATCAGCTGAGCGCGGGCGTCGACCGGCCTGGCGGTCATACTTAGCTATTATAAATTTTAATATTTGTGATTTTTTTAATGTCATTTGCCTATTTAATTATGTAAAAGCTTTTAGAAAAATTTACTTCGCAAATATCCGCGTTATAAAATAAAATGATGTGTCTTACCTCCCGCCCTCCCTCGGGAGGGCGGGAGGTGCTCTTAGGTTAGGTGCGTAAGACACATCATTTTATTTTATAACGCGGATATTTGCGAAGTAATTTTTTCTAAAAGCTTTTATATAATGGATTTCCGCAAAGTAACGCCTGATTCTATTAATTATATTTAATTATGTTTAATGATTTCAACACAATGTGTGATACTGATATCAAGTGTAAAATAAATAAGGCATTTTCTTTGACTATTTATTTTGACATTGTTTAGGTACTACAAAATACATGCTAAAACTATTGCACGGTGGTCATTCAGTTGAGTACCGAGAGCCGCTGTATACCACAGAACACATGTACCCTGACGGGAAGAACGAAAACTTCATACAATAAAAATGCCAACAGCTTGCGACACTAGCGCGCCAGTTTTTGATCCATGAACTAACAGATGTGAATGTGTGCGTGTGTATATGTATATTCCTCATTGCCCACCCCCACATTCAATATTCTATTTTAATCATAATATATTACTATTTCCATTCCAATTTTCTACGAATGTAGAAATTACATTCTACATTAGTAAAAAATTGAAATGAAAATAGTAATAAATGAATAACGAATTGGAAATTTTAAATATTTAATAACACAAACCTTGAGAGGAAGATTAGAGTTAATAATTAGCTATGCATTGATACATAAGTAGAAAATTGGAATGGAACACGGTTAATAGTTTTTCAGAAATAAAACAATTATTTTCATAGAGATTTAAATATATTATTGACTAGTAATATAGACACAGAAATAAACTTGGGCACTCAATTTAAGATGATTATAGACGCATCTTAGAACACACCGTTTTCAGTAATCCATTATTATTCGTTAAACATCTTCATTAAGTAATACAACTCTGATAAATCACCATAAATTAAATATTCACTGGCTAGTAACACCACATTTAAGTTATTTTTCTACGAAATATACTAAATCGACATCGAGTTTTGAATTTGGCTTAGAAAAGTTAAACAAAACTAACTCCATTTAATTTGAAAATGATTTGAAACATTCTCGTTTAAAATAATATCTAATTGATGTAAAATGTACTTTGAAACTTGTTATTTTCTTAATTTTATGAATATGTAAAATATATTAACCTAGTTTACGTTTTTATTTCACAACAATCATAGATACATTTATATTTTCGGCTACAGAGCTTGTTGCACAGAGTAATCATTTCAATCGGACATAAAAATAATCGGAACGTATAATTTAATTTATACTTTCATGGATTAAACAAATTTTATTTGTTATGTATATTATAAAATATATAGTTTATAATTTATAAGATAAGTAAAGATAATTTTTAATGGGCAGGCGACAAAGATATTAAAAAGCAAAAATAAAAGTTCCTAAACTGTAATTGAAATACAATGCGTGACATGGTTCAATAGTGATTTCTCTGTCTTGCGTATAGCGCTGTCTCTGTTTCGCTTATTTTGCCCAAAGTTTGCAATGCAAACTTTGCATCGGCTCCATAGTGAGTTGACCCCCCATGCTGTATACACGCTTTGTGTGTGGGATCTCGCTTAGATATGATCGATACAAGTCTTGCTTAATTTGCTATTAGCGATTTCCATTCTTGTATATTGTAAGATTCCGCACATAAGACCATAGTTCTACAATGCAGTATTATATTTATGTTTTATAGGACTACACTTAAGATCTATGTTTACATCACCTAACAGAAATAAGTCGTGATTCTTATTTACAGTCTTAAGTGTGCAGTGTAATTCATTTATATACAAGTGTTTACTAAAAAAAGGTGAGTGGTATATGGCTTACAGAGTTACCGAATATTTATTTGGGGTTGGTTATTTGACCTAAAATGCATTCAAAGTAACGTGTTTTTATTGTGTTACTTATTCGATACATTCGATCTTTTCAGTTCAATAATTGTTTTTTGGCAAGCTTCTGGGTTCTCCACGCGCTATCGACTTTTTCTGTATGGAATATAATTTAATTAATTTTAGTTTTATAATTTAATTTTTACATAGTTTTTATCTGCAGGCTACTGTCTGACAGACTGTCGGACACTTCTTACAGAATTTTTTTTTGGAGTTTATGGCCTGGTATCTAGACCTTTAGGCCAAGTCTTAAGTATTTTTTTCGGTTTATTATAATTTCCCCAAATGTATAATTATCCTTCATAGTTCACTGCTTCACAATATGTTGATGCGTCACATTGTGCAGCCCTTGGGAGATTTTGACGGCAACTTGAGCCAGCAGACAGCTGACAGTTGGCGATGGTATCTAAAGGCGCATATGTAGACAAACAGCTTATCTTGAGAATCCATCACCATCAGAGCACTTGTTTCACCGTTTCCACTAATAGTTCACATGCGTAGACAGTTAATACACAAAATCGCACCACTTTTACATATCAAAGTCCACTTCAAACCATTATTTAAACAATAACACAGGAGCAGCAAACCGACGCCGGTCAAGTTCCCGCCAAAAACACTTCTTACAGAAATGTTCTTACAAGGTGTGGCAAGCCTTTATTATACACTTAGATGTTACCATAAACATTAAATGTAGGTATTGTAATTAATTCCCTGTAGTGATGGTTTAAGAATATCCACTATCTTTATTTTAAGACACTACCTTTATTTAATCACTTGCTTAAGACCCGCTAGCAGGAGCAATGGGTCACAGACCGTTTTGTTACAACCTATTATTTTGTTGTTTCTGTTTATAGCATGATATGTATTTTGTAATATTGTATTTTTTTTTTGTTGTGAAAAGTTAAAAAAGTACTACACTTTATATTACTTTACCTCATATCCTCCAGTGAGTGTCGTAAGAAGCGACAGAGGGAAACTGAAACAGGAGGTGGACGGTGACATTATTCATATGTTATATTCCTCATAAGAACTAAAAATAATAAAGAGTTAAACTGTAATGAAAAAGCTATGCTTGTAATTTTCTACAGAACCATTTTACAATGTATTTTATTTTATTTTATTTGAAGCAAGTACATATGTTAATTAGTTGTCAGATGGTAGCTTTTCTACAAAGGCTACTACAGCTCACAAAATACCTATACTACTTAATATACTACAAAATGACTATCATTCTGAAAACAAAAAACGCTAGAGAATAGGCCGCGGCAAGGCAGTTGTGACAACATACAATGTAGCCATAAAAATAATTCCTTTTTCTTAGTCTCATCAAGTGGCGTAATAATTGTCAACATTTAGCATTGTATTCAGTTAACCGTTTTCATACTTTTATTATAGCAACGAAGCACAATGGATTCATGATTGCATTAAAACCGATAAAGGCCATAGATATTACCAAAATACAGTTGTCTTTCCTTTTTCTGCATTAAATATGGCAACAACAACAAGTTGCAATCTGTATGTTGGTAGCAGTGTGAAAATGAAAGCCGTGGTTGGTCAGACAGCCGATTATTTCTTTTCCCATCCGTAGCCGATTGCTGTCGTGCTATCCAAATGGGTAAGGAGACGTTTTGTGCTGATAGTTTTTAATTTTCTTTACTTTAAGTTTTATTATGTGGAATTAAGTGTATAGTTATTTTTCGAATTGTGAAAGTGAAATAAATCCTTAGCTGATAGAGTATTTACTTATAGAATCTTGTGCGCATAGGTGTCGGCCATGGCGCAGACATGTTTTTCTCGTGGTGTTTTTATAAATCTATTTCCATCTTATAGACTTTTTATAGCTTACGAGGTAGTATTTAACACCCCCCATTTTCAATATGAACTGCGTCATGATGTGTATCGATTTTTGTGTTTGCCGTGCTTAAAAGTGATAACCGGCGATTTACTATTTCAGGTAAACCCCGTGGTATACGGACGGCGCGGAAGCACGTGAACCACCGCCGCGAACAACGATGGGCAGATAAAGATTACAAAAAGGCTCACATGGGCACGAGATGGAAGGCCAATCCCTTCGGTGGAGCATCTCACGCTAAGGGCATCGTCCTGGAAAAAGTGTGAGTATACTTAGTCAGTGTTTGTACCCAAAAGTGTTAATTAAAATGTTTATTAATGATGCTTAGCGCCCGCGTACTACGTACACATGGATGTTGAAGTGCAAGAAAGTATGAAGTCTGAAGATTGAAACACTGGCGTGTGAATAGGACGCGTCCATACGCGGCATTATTCCTGTGAATGTGTTCCCTCTACAATCACAGGATAATACTGCGAGTGGCTGCGTAGCGTTACACTAATTAAGAATTCATCAGCAACTTACGTCCGGTCATTGAACTTAACGTGTGGAGTCTCGTTGCAACTTTATTTACATAAGAAACCGTTATTTAACAATATTGATTTCTATGGAAACCGTCGGTTTACTGTTTGTAATGTGAAATTATAGATTTCAACTTATTGAAAACTACAATTTTTATATTGTCTAAAATTGACCTATTTTGAACTGAGTTTTTCAAGTGAGAAAAACAATAATCATTTTTTTTTTAAAATGATGTACATTTCTTATTTTCCTTACATACATAACTTATATATGACATTGTGTGATAAAACTAGTTTTGTAAAAAAAAAATTAACTATCAGTATGTAGGGTGGATGCCCCTATTAGCAGCCTTTTAGTGCCAATTTCAACTTCAAAAATTCCTGCTATTTTAATTAGGGCACAATATTTCTAAACATGTTTTAATCGATAGGTTATTTATCTAAAAATATAATGAACATTTATTTACAATCATATTATTTCAAGAACAATTTTAAAAACTACGATAAGCAAAAAAAGGTGTTATGGCTCAAATTCCAGCCACTCTGAACCGAATGTCGTCCTTTTGTGTACCTAATATCAGCATAGCATAGGGTTACGCCTTTGAGATTTTGTAGGTACCCATTGTAGGTAAGTTAGAGGCACAGAAATAAATTCGTAATAAGGCGACAACATTATTTTACTTTGTTTTACTACTTAACTTAATGTGTTTTAGTTTAAAGCAGTTCAATAAATTAAAGTAAATTATGATAAAATATTATGTAGTTCATCGATTTCTAATAATTTAATCATCCAAGTTTTCAAATCATCATCATCATTACAACCTTACACAAGTCCACTACTGAACATCCTCCTCCATAGACTGCTGCAAAGCCTGGTCCTAAATCACTTTCCTTGTAATGAGTTTTTTATTTATGTTCTAAGTTATAATTAGTATTTTTAAGTTAGAGTTTTTGCTTGTATATACTATATTTATTGCTTGTTTTTTCTTTCTCAAGAAATAATTGGATACATAAGGTGTTCTTAATATACACCGAATATGAGATAGAAAAGATAGTACATCTTTCGCTAAACTTTAAAATCTAAAACCGATTTTAAAACAGACAATTTAATCGTAACTCCCTTAACTATAAAAGAATAAAAGTTAGGTTTAAAACTGAGAGGTAATATTTGAAATATACTTTCCTCTAGTTACGAAGAAGTTTTTAGATGACAATATTTGTAGTTAAGACTACTAGAAATTGTATTTACGAAGTAAAAAGGCAAAAAGGCTGGAATTAGGGTCATGGCTGGTATTAGGGGCATCCACCCTAAAATATAATTAGATATTGAAGTTACTTCATTTACTTACAATATTGTTTGTTGTTTTTTAAATAATATCTATAATATAAATCTACAGGAAAAAAGTTGACTTATAAAATGTGTGTATAAATTTTTGTAATTTATATTTATGTCAGTAAATGCTCATAATAGTTTTTGGTAAATACAAATGAATTTGTTTATAATGTATTTGATCTTTAAAATTTGTCTATTTGAGGTTTTGCTTGTAATGATAAAAGAACATTAGTGACAGAACTTTGCTCAGTGTTAGAAATTAAATGATCTCACATAACATTACTTCTAATAACTCTATATAAACTTGTAACCATTTATACAGATATAAAGTTGATGGATGCAGGTGGCTTTAAAACTCCTTTGTGAGTTTGTAACCTTCCTGGCTGGAATGAGATGATGATGAGATAAACAAGTATTGCTCACTTAAAGAATAGAATTTTTTATTTTTTTGTTATATTGTATTTATGATATTTTTATATTGTAGTTCCATTACCAACTGCAGTTTTTTATCATTTTGAGTTATCAAAAAGATACAGCTGCCCATCTTATTTCTCTTACTTATGGTTTGATATGGGGTAGTAGATTCTCTTAGCCACCACTATCCAATTTACACCAATACTTCTGAATTCTAATTATGAATATAAAATAATTACTAATGTTCCTTAAGAGTAAGACAAAATTTGTAATTTAGGACCTGTAGCTCTGTCTGTTTTGCAGTTAAGTATAAGAAATGAGCCTCAGTTTTTTGTGTATATATATATATATATATATATATATATAATGCCTTGGTCGCCCCTGAGGACTAAGTTGGAATGTCTTGCAGCCAGTATATGTTGTACTAACTCTCTAAACTCTTTCGACTGAAACTGATTTACTCTGAAGAAAACCCTTCTCAACTTATTTGTAGATTACAATCTTAAAGCTCTTATGTGTTGATATGAATGATTTGCTTTTTGTTGTTTTTGTGATTTAGAACTATAATAAATGTTGTAAAATTACATCCTGCAGTGGTGTTGAAGCCAAACAACCTAACTCTGCCATTCGCAAGTGTGTCAGAGTGCAACTGATCAAGAACGGCAAGAAAGTGACAGCATTCGTGCCCCGTGACGGTTGTTTAAACCATATTGAAGAGAACGATGAAGTGCTGGTAGCAGGTTTCGGTCGTAAGGGTCATGCTGTTGGTGACATTCCCGGAGTCAGGTTTAAGGTAGGTTGAAACTTAAACATCAAAGGCAATTTTAAACTATGATTCATGTAATAATTGGTACTGATAAATGATTTTCTTGAACTTTGACATTACATTGCAAAATATAATATATTATATGAAAGTTTTACATGAAACAAAAAAACTTCTCATAATTTAATTTAATTTTGATTCAATTTATTTTTGAATTGAAATATGGTCTGTTAAAATTGATTTCTCCAATAACACCAGTATTTACTAAAATAGAAATTGGTTTTTGTTTCATAATGTTTTGGTAAATTGGAATGATAATAGGAGCAATTAATAAAAGTAAAATATTATAAAACTTAATTTCTTGATTTATTAATAAAAAGCTGTTTTTGTTTTTAGTTTCTTGGTGTTAAAACTGCTCATTTGTATATTATTGAAAAATTATAAGGACTATGATTGAGCGTTATTTAAAAAACTAAAGAAGGATCGTATGGATGGTGGTAGTAACCTAAAGAAGTATAACATTACGACAACAAAAGTTAATTTCTAACAACTCCGACAATAAAAAATAAACATCAACCTGGTACAATATTAATAATAGCAATGGGATCAAAAACTATCAATAATTTTTAACTTAAATTTTAACATTCCTGACTTTTTAAGTAGAGTAAGGCAGACCATTGTAAAAACTGTGACAATCACTGGGTAATATTGACCTAATTAAGACCAGATGGTTGTATTTAGTAGATGAGATTACAATTTTATTAAAATGCAGTTGTTCATGATTTACTGCAACTAAAAGTTTTGGCCTGTGTGGGAGGAGGTCCATGAATTCTCCATAAAAATCGATTTTTACTTTTATACACATGTCTGGCCTTTACCATAATCACTCTTAATATCGAGAATTTATGTCCAGGATGGGATGCTTTTATAAAACCATTTTTCAGGATTTGCATAGTTTTTGAAAAAACTGTCTTCAGCCTGGATTGATATATTCACAATATGGTTCCTTTCGGGCCTCTTTTGTAATTGCCACATATCACTAGGCAGTTGGATTTCTCTATTTTTTAATTTTCTTCCAATAGAACTTAATGGATTCACACTCCAATTGAGTGTGCCTTGAGTCTAAACATTTTTGGGTTATAGTTGGTTATACTATGGGTTAGAACCATGATTCTGTTTTGATAGGTGCAGCCAGATAAATAACAATATCCTTTTTTGCAGGTAAGCAGTGTCTTTAAATGTATTTGATTAGAAAAGAAATGAAAGTGTTTGATGTCAAATCAGTCGCAGTCTCGTCAAACCAATAGCAGCTGCAACTCCGAAAATTAAATTAAATACCGTAATTAACTTTGCTTTGAAATATAAAAGCTTTAGCTGTTAGGTATGGGCAAATATCCTAACGGCTTCTAGATTCGTAGAAGAATGAACTCTCCTGAGGTTGCTTTTTCTTTATCCTCTCGTTTTTCTGCTTTTGCTCTGTCTTAATTGATGATATGAATCTGGTAGTCACTTTTATTTATGTTAACAACTTTGTAGCCAGAGTTATGCATCGCACATGTATTTTTATTACATGTAATAAGTTTTTTCATAAAACTTTTTATCAAATGTGTATCTGCACACTGACACTGATGAAGAATCATATTCAGAGCAGTAAGCTTTGTAATTATTAAATAAATCTTTTACAGACTTAAAGAAAGGTTCAATTAATAACTTTGTACTATCCTTCCTCGCATAATGAGAAGGTAACTTAGCAATATTGTCAAGAAATTGTTCAACTATTATAACATCTTTCTCTCTTCTCCAGCTCTATGTTCTAATCCTAGATGCATTTCTTGTTTCTTGCGTAGAAGAGTAACTGTATTTGGAATTATTTACCCAAGATTAGACTGTAAAAGATCCTAAGGATAGTGTGTTCAACAAAATTGTTCTACACACCTGCACGTTTTCATTATCATTTTCTGAGTGGTAAAAAATATGTGAGCGTGTCTCCTCGCCTTGACTTTCCATCTGATTTAGATTTATTAATAGTAGTTGAGCAAGTCTAATTCTGACACATATCTTATGCTGATCCCCAAGACATGGTTTTCCAAAACATGATGAAATTGGTTTCTTTTTTTCTGCAGTAAAACAGGAACATCCTCTTAGCATACATTTGCCTTAGAGGTCTTAAGGTATGGTGTTTCATTTTTTCTTCTTTAGGTTTTCGATATCCTAGATATACTTCACCTTGCATGCGACGTCGTTTAGCGTCATTTTTTTCCAAGCACCAGGATTAGCTTTATGTCGGCGTTTTCTCCCATCATTTATGTCCTCATAATCTGCATAAGCTGTATTTGATGCAGAATCAATCGAATTATCATTTGAATTAAGATATATTGGATGGTTTTAATTTTCATCCGGAAAATTTGCATAGATTACTGAAAACTACTTCGAAGAAAACTTTTGTCTTTAATCACAGGAAACTATTGACTTTCTTTCAATTAAGAAAAATCATGATATCAGTAGTCAGATCAGAAAATGGTAATATATGAGATATTTTCACTAAAATCAAAAATAATTGTTAATGTAAACGTAAACACTTATGAATACTTAAACGTTTTATCACTAACTGTATAGCTTAAAACAGTAAAAACAATACTATCCATCCATATTAGGTAAATCCAAAATAACGAATAATCTATTAAAAAAATCCGCATGACCATCCATCCATTCAAAGATCTTTTTGAATATGTATAATCTTATATTATTAATATCAACGCAGTACTTACATTGTGTAATTACATATTCTAATATAATAATACTATCTCACTTATTTTCACACGACGCAACGAGTAGTTCGCCACATGGACTTCAAATGGCGGTAGACAAAAACAATCACGAGTCCTGGAATCCCTTATTCTTAAAATGTGGATCTAGAATTGTAGATTCCACGTTTAATATATTCGATTCGATGTGACCGATTCTATGATTCAGCTCCTTGTGACTTTTTTATTTCTGGTATATCATTATTAGCATAAATGTTTTCACTTGCAGCCTGCTCCTGCACAATAAAATGACCTTAGCTAATGATATATTTTTTCGGCGCTCACTTCGGCTGTCATATGTCAATGTCATACAACATTTTTATTACAGGGTGAACCGATTGAATTACCACCCATTGGTAATGAGTCACTGCTAGGTCAGGTCTGATGAGGGCTATAGTGGCTATAATAGCATCTTTCGTCGAGGTAAACCGATGCAGCATGTCGTAGATAGAGTTCCACCTGGTGGCACCGTCTTGTTTTAGTTTAAGGGTTGGAAGACATAGTCGTTTCTGCATTGTGACAAATTTTTTGTGTCATAAATACATAAAATTTGCTGGTATGCCTCTCGTTGTATTCCACACATCCCAGTAAATTTGAGTGCAATTTCGTGTCATCTGATGTCGAGATAACGTAATGAACCGTAATAGTTAAATAGCTGTCATTTAGAATAGAATAGAATAATTTTTTATTCAATATTATTACATAATACTTATTGGAAGTCATTTTTTATTTACCACGTTGTTATCCCATGTCCAGCTGACTGCGTTGGCATATTCCATCTTGTGCCTCACTTTCTCTTCCTGTTTTTTCGTACATTTCGGGAATTAACGACTGTGACAGCGTTTTTCTTGTTGGCAGCGTGCACCCTGGGCACAGCATATGTACATTTTTTTTAATTCTTCATTCTCCACCATACTGTATGGATAATAGCCATTTGCAATCATGCGCACAAGCTGCTCATCTAAAAGTGTTCCACACGCCGAGGCGGCATGGATTTTGTGCTGTGCGCATATTTCTTGATGGACGGCTGAGGTAACTCAGCAGAGGATGGGGAAGTGGATGTGGCAGATTCTGTCGCAGTTGATGTTGCTGCAAGTGTCTCCTGCGGGGCTTCTTGAAAACATGCCTGCTGCATTGGCTGCCTTTTAGCAACGAGGGGTACTGTTTGGGGTGTTTACTTTTAAATGTCTACCCAGTTTGCAACAATTTCCAGCGGGTACATTTAGTATTTCGCACAATAAAGGCATTTTGCTTTTTTTTGGTTCTACTTCCTCAAAATAATTTCACAGTGAACTTCGTTTTCGTGAACCCATTTTTTTTTTTCTAATAAAACATTAACTGTACAAAATTATTTACACTGAATGTCTACAATTAAATTAAACAGTCTCTAATCTTTTTCTATTCGATGCAATTAATGAAAACAATATTACTCCCGTTCCCGAGCCGTGGTCAAGGTTGAACTAATGAAGCAAACTGATATTTTTGTTTAATTTTGTAAATCGTAAATATTTTTTCTACTTTTTTATCCATATAAACTACTACTAATTTCGATCATAAAACAATCTTAAAAATTCATGACCGTAATTAGTTTGCATTGTTTACTAAAAAATTTATAGGCAAAGTACATGTGGGTACAGTTCAAACCAGTATAATACTTAAAAGTTCACGTTTTTTTTTATAGGATAAGGGTGACAAAATTGCACAGTCTACCTGATGGTAAGTGGTTGCTGTGGCCCATAGACATCTACATCTATCCTCTATTACAAATCAAAATGCAGATGCGTTGTCACCCGTGAGGACTAAGATGGAATGCCTCATTTCCAGTAAAAAGGGCCTCTGGCCACACCTGCACTCACCAAGCGAAACGCAGAGGTAAACCTCTACTTCACGCTGGTATTCTGTGAGGTCGTGGTACCACCCCGGTTCGAACCTGCCCATCTGTGCGACAGCAAAAGCCGCCACGTGGCTCTACCACTGTTAAAAACTGCTTTACGACTTTTTGAATACCTACACACCAGTAATAGAGTCGTCAATTTACCTTTTTGTGCCGACGTATGACAACTGTACAGACTGCAACACGTTTTTATTAAAGCTAGGAGGTATTTGCTCTTATTTTAGCATAACCTAATAAAGAAGGTATTTTTTTTTCAAAGTTAAGGTTTATTTCCAGCAAAATTTTAGAATAATTTAAACAACTTAAAATAGCAGTTTTTTCTATTAGTATTTTAAAGAATAAATGATTAAATAATGTTTTAGGAGATTTTGTTAGTATGTGCAAGATATTATGTTATGTCGATCTCTATTAAAATCTAAAGATCGCTAAAAACGAAGAAAAGAAAGTATTGGTACTTCATCGTCGATATAAAATAAATCCAATCAATATGTGAATATTATGGTCATGTCTTTGCAAAACTATAATTTCCAATTGAATTACAATCATTGTATATGTTAATGTTCAAGCTATATTTATGATTAGAATTTGGAGAACTCTTTGTAACTATAGCAACACAGATATGAACAAAACATCTTAGTGATATTGATATACTTTAGTGATGATCAGTCTATAGACATCCGGAGTATTTGCTACTCTGAGTGCCATGATGAGGTCAGCTTTTCTGACTAAATGCAATATATTTGATTCATGCATTGAACCATGTTTAAATGAACTTACTATAGATTCTATTTTCGCTTTTCAGGTAGTGAAGGTAGCCAACGTCTCACTCCTCGCCCTGTACAAAGAGAAAAAAGAGAGGCCAAGATCGTAGACCATGTTACATTGTGATAAGGTACATTTTGTAATTACAATATAATTCTATAAATTTCGTATGTGAATAAATATTGTTCGAATTTTAAAGAAACTAACAAAATTTATATGTATGTTTTTTAAATTATATGTTTTTTTAAAGCTTAAAAAATATATACAACAGTAAATAAAACTTTCTAAATGATTAAGATCTTTTGAGTATTGATTTATTTCAATGATTTTTGAACAGTATTTTTAAACCTCTTAAATTATTTTGTTATCAGAAATGTATAGTAATATTATGCTAATAGTGGTATATTGGAATGCCCAAATAACATATTTAACCATGCAGTTTCATTGTAAGAATATCCTGTATTCCATACATCATGTAGGTGTCGTAAGAGGCGACAGAACGAAATAAAATTAACAACTCAATATAATTTAAAAAAACCCAACCCGCTCTGCTAAGTGTGGCAACTAAGGCAAGTATCCCCACTATGAGGCCCATATATTTATGGGGGTCTTTTTGTTTAGCAGCTCATATTATGTGTTGTCATCCCTGAGAACTAGAATAGAATGTGGCGCATCACCAGTAAAAGGAGTCACTCTCCATGTGAAAAATAGCAAAATTATACTGCAGTATGCTGGTATTCTAAGCAAGCATGGTTCGGCCTACCTGGTTGAATCAACAAAAATAATTTGTTACATTGCAGTGCAGCACTCTACCTTCTTAGGGTTTACTACTCTGTTACTAGTTCAAATGGAATTAAATTGGTATTTTGTTAATTCCTTGGAGTTAAATGTCAAGTTTATTTCCCTTACTGATAATGATGTTCAGTATCCTTGCAAATAATATAACAGATTTAAACATTGTACATGATGCTAAAAACAATTATTTGCTACTGCTGAATGCCATGACGTAAAATGTTGACTGATATAGATCATTGTATTTCACCAGAGATTTAAGTTGTCATGCAGGCATCTAATAAAGTGTTTGTTTGTTTCAGTGCTGCTGTGAAGCGGTGTTGTTCATAAGATTCATTTACAAAAATGTAAAATCAAGTACATAATAAACTATGTACACCACAATTGTTTTTTATTTTTTCATTCATGAAACCTGGTAAAATTTGATACAATGAAATCTTTTATACGCCCAAGATCGATACTAACCCCGGTCACTCACATTCGCACGAATACGCAAACCCACAAGTAGGGCATTGAGAACCGGTTCTTTCGGTTCTAAATTTTTGCCGGAACCAAGTACCCGGTTCTTTTCTTTCTTTTAGGTTGGAGACTATTTCGTTCAATGTAAATAATAATATTCATAAAAAAAAGTGTATTGCAAATCGTGGGATAGAGTAAAAGTAATAATTGCAATATAGAGTTTCTTTCTTTATATTTTTGCAACTGGGTTTTGATTCCAATATGATAAAAAGTGATCGTATTAAATTAGTCGTATAGCGGTAATATAATACCAGTAAGAGGCGTTTGTTATCTACAATGTTTTTATAAAAATGTTCGTTATGATTTAAAGTTTGCGATAGCCGATTTACGTTGTCAAAGCGTGCTGGGGCGACAGTCGTGTGAGAAGTTAGGGTTAGTCAAGCGAATTCATGAAATTAATATATCAGACTACGATGACTTATTTAGCGGTATTGGGTGCCTTCCAGGAAAGTATCATATTGTTTTAGACTAATCCATACCTCCGGTGATTTCTACTCTTCGAAAGATTCCGTTAAATTTACGTGAACGTCTAGCATATGAGCTTAAAAATATGGAAAACCAAGGTATAATAAGGAAAGTTTCTCATCCAACTCAATGGGTGCATCCACTAGTTCTAGTCGCAAAAAAGGACAATGGAATTCGCGTGTGCTTAGACCCACGAGAACTTAACCGTGCAGTGCAGCGCGCGCATTTCCAATTGCCCACTATGTCAGAGCTCGTAGCGAAGCTACACGGAGCGTGCTTCTTTTCGGTCTTAGACGCCAACTCAGGTTTTTGGGCTATACAACTGGATGAGCAGAGTGCAGACTTGTGTACATTTGCCACACCGTTCGGTCGATATCAATTTCTTCGCTTACCGCTCGGTATTAACTGCTCTTCCGAAGTATTTCACGCGAAAATGAGGTAGCATTTAGAGGGTACAGACAGTTTTATGAATGAATGAATTTCTTTATTTTGCAAATATGGGTGATGCAGAATGTGGTGACAAATATATAGTATAGATTCCACCATATTTTACCAGAAGGCATGCAAAAATATTTTTTTATCAATTTACGAAAATATGTCATTTACGATACAATATAACATTAGATTAACAAAATTAAAAAAGTCTTCAAATTATATGTAAGTCTAGTCAATCGGTACATTATTATCACTATTATTTAATTATTCATTCCATCGTCAAATTAATTACATTAATAATAATACAATTTATTAATAAATATTCACGTACACATTTTAACACAACATTTTGTCCATTAAAAATTCATTGATATTATAGTACACCTTGTCTGCTAAAAAGTTTCGTAGCCTTGTCTTAAATAATGAAGTATTGAGATCCCTCCAACACTTGGGTAATTTGTTGTAAACAGCCGGCCCCATACAGCAGACACTGTTGCGTATTAGTGCTGTTTTTCCCTTAGGAATATAAACTCTACTATTGTCGCGTCTGTTTCTTGGGGCAATGTCTGCCAGGCACTTAAAACGGTTCTGGTTCGACTTTACAAATACTGCTATCTCTAATATATATATACAAGTTAGAGTTAATATTTTATATTTTTTAAAATATGGCTTACAGCTATCGGTACTCTTCAGTTTAAACATGGAGCGTGTACACCTTTTTTAGGCCGTAAATACCTTTCCTTTTTCAGAAGAGTTACCCCAAAATATTACACCATATCGTAGGTATGTTTCTACCGTACCATAATACGCAGTAAGGAGTCCATCCGTACAAATTATAGAAGACAATATGCCTAGAGCATAAGCAGATTTACTTATATTGTTGCAAAGAGTCCTAATGTGCGATTTCCAATTCAATTTTTCATCAATTTCCAGCGCCAAAAATCTCGTGCTTTCGACTTCGGCAATGTTGTAGTTATTATATTGTATTATGAGTTTACTATTATTGTGTTTGCGTTGACTGAAATGTATAACCTTTGTTTTGCTTAAATTTATTATTAAATTATTGTGATCTAGCCATTTTATAATTGTTTTTAGGGAATTGTTTATGTCATATTCGTATGTATTTATATTTTTACAAGGTACTGTTATGGTGCTGTCATCTGCAAAAAGCGTCAAATTTTGTTTTGCGTATTTAGGTAGGTCATTAATATACAATATAAATAGTAACGGTCCCAGGACACTCCCTTGCGGAACTCCAAAGCTGACTTTACGTTCCGATGATCGAAATGTCTCTTCGTATTTATTAACTTTATTAAAATTCTTAATATTAGTTATTTGTATTCTATTCTTAAGGTAAGATTCTATAAGGTTAAGTACATTACCTCTGATGCCATAGGCGTGTAGTTTATATAAGAGTGTAGGGTAGTGAACATAATCAAACGCCTGGGTCATATCACAAAATATGGCACAAACTGGTGTTCTTGTGTCCATATTATTAAGAATATTGTGTACAAAGTCGTATATTGTCATATTTATTGTTTTACGCTGCCTAAATCCTTTCTGTTCCTCACACAATATGTTATGTTTTTCTACATATTTATTGTAAATGTACTTTTCAATTATTTTTGAAATTATGGGAATGAGTGAAATTGGTCTATAATTTTCAATTAACTCTCTATTTTTTTTTTCTTAAATAATGGTTTTATTATAGAGATTTTTAAGGCATCTGGATATATGCCAGCACAAATGCAAAGATTAATTATATAAGTCAGGTGATCACATATCTCATTAGCAACATATTTAATTACCTTTGTACAAATGTCATCATAACCTACACTGAATGTGTTTTTCAAAGACATTATTATTTCCTTTACTTCATATGCTGTACTAGGCTCTAAAAACATAGAGTTAGGTATAGTGTTTATATTAATTGCTTTTGGTTTACTTTCGGCATGAAGTTTTGGCTGAATTTTATCGACAAAGTAGTTATTAAATACTTCACAAATTTTCGCTGGGTTCGATATAACTTGGCTATTTACCTCAATTTTATTTATATAATGTTTTGGAGTATTGTTTTTGTTTTGATTAATTATCTGCCAAGTCGTTTTTGACCTATTTTTGCAAGTTTTTATTTTATAGGTATTTTGTGCCTTTTGAGTTAGGTTTATAATTTTTTTGAATATAATAGAATAATTTTTAAAGTTTGTTTTATTGATATTGTTAGGTTGTAATCTCGACAGCCACAAAAGTTTTCGTTTCTTTTTACTACATAATTTAACACCTCGAGATATCCACCTTGTTTTTTTTAAAACATTGACTTTGTGTACGATAACCGGAAAACATAGATCATAAAATAGTTTAAAAGTATCGATAAAATTATTATATGCTACATTAGGATCATCTGTACAGTAAATTTCTGAAAAGGAAAGGTTTTTTAGACAATCTTTAAACTTTAACATGTTTTCGTAATTATAATCCCTTCTAGTATTGTACCAGTAGTTAGTAACATAACATTTCTGAACTGGGTATTGTAAAATCTGTGCTGTATGATCTGATAATGCTAACTCTATCACATTAGACTTACACTGCTTATCAAAGCTGTACGCAAAGTTGTCGATGCATGTCATACTTGCTATACGTGTCGGCTGTTTCAATGCTAATTTTAGGTTAAAACTTAATAGCAGACACTCAAATGCTATTGTTTGACTATTACTTTTAAGTATATCAATGTTAAAATCTCCGGCGATAATAATATTCCTAAAGCGCATGTTTGATATATCTTGTAAAATAATTTCAAATTTATTCATAGCGTCATTAAACTTGCTTACATTTGGTATTCTATATACACAGACGACTATTGTCTTATAATTAATCAGTTCGACAGCACAACATTCAAGCACACCTGGCAATGATAGCTTCGCTATTGTTGGTAGCTCTTTCCATTGGTGTCCGTTTTTTATCAGGATACAAGTTCCACCTCTTTTTTCATCCTTTCTACAATAATATGAAGCTAAAGAGTAATTCGGTACATATAGTTGATTTTCGTAGCCTTCCATTATAAAATGCTCGGTAATACACAAAACATCAACATTTAGTTGTTTTTCATATAGCTCACACAAACATACAGTAAGAGCTTTTGACTTTTTTATTAGGCCAGCGATATTCTGATGTAGTACATTGAGATAATGACTAGAGAAAAAACAGCTCCTTTGTGTTAGTTTCGCTACAGGATTGAAAGGAAGATCTTATATCTTCTATGTCTAAGGGACTGTGTGTATCTTTATTATACTCCATTATTTCAATATTTATCATTTCTCTAAGATTTTCAAAAATATTTTTAATACCGTGGTTATTGAGAGTACCACTGCTCCTCAAAAACATTTTATAATCATATGATAGATTTAGGTTAGAATCATATAGCCATGCATAATTATGAGTACAATTGTCTAGATATAACAGGTTATTAAATGTTTCTATTCTATTGTTAAACATCATGGAGCTATCATTTAGTTTGAAGGTAGGTAGGCATAAAATAATATTTGTGTGTTTTATTTTTAATAGAGTTTCACGAATATGAACTGTCAGATCGAAATAATTATTTGTTCTTCGAAAGTCCTCTTCTCCAATTAAAATTATACAAAAGTCATTTAATGTATAGCTCTTTAGTTTTTTATCAATGTCACCAATAATCTGTCTTACTCCACTATCATGTGTTAAGTAGTGGCAAATTTGGAAATTTGGGAAGGTGTCTTCTGCAACTTTAAGGATCTTGTTTGATTTATTACTGCTTAAAATGCACAGCTTATGTTTTTCTTGTTTTAGAGTATCGGTTGTTTGGTTAGTTTGGCTAGTGTTCTGTACTGTTTTTACTAGTTCAGATTGTGGTAGCACTTGATTTTGTGTTATATTTGTTGGTATTCGTTTTTGCATACTTTTAGATAAACGACGAGGAGTAGCTAGT